GGAATAGTGCTGTACAATATGGAAGGGGAAAACTCTTGCAGGAAGTATTCATGGCATCAATTCAGCAAATTACTATGTTGTGGGAAAGCATGAACTATAATTGACTATTTAGCCAATGCAGCCAAGGCTTACAGAGACGAAGGCCAAGACATTGTGATTAGCAGGGACAATGATAGCATCTTACTTCCTACTAAGATTTCTTTGATCTCACTGAGATTAGCTGAAGGGGAATTAATTTTCCTGGCAATAGTATGTTGTGTGGAGGCAGCCACATTATTTTGAGTATCAAGTATATTCAGTAAGTTGATTTGAAAAGGCAGTTAAGACTGATTAGCTTTAAATAAGACCTGACCTTACTGGAGATGAAAATGGTTAGAATAGATTTTTTGAGATGGGTCAACATAACTGAAAGAATTCTTCATGGGGTCATAATTAAAGTTTTGGAAGGTGTCATAATGACCATTTGCAATTCAGAATTGACAAGTAAACCCTTCACAAGGCAAGAAACTTTGATCAGCTTCCTCCTGATTAAATGCAATAATCCTGTTCAGGGAAAACTGAATGTGTACTCACGTCCCTGAAAATCAGCAAGAGCTACTAATTCTGACAAATAACAAGAGACATGGGTTCTGCTATCGTGCCCTTTATATGTTTTACACAAACCAAAACCTGACCAAGTTGGCAATGCCAATTAAAAAAAATCAGTTGTGATATCTTGATCCCTAGGTCATTATAGATCTTCAATTAGTTATGATAAAAATTAAAAACAGGCTCAACACTGTATATTTTCAACACTGTATATTTTAACTTGCACTGGTATCTTCTAAATCTTTTCCCTCTTTTAAACCAGACTTCATTTATTTGTCACTTTTACAATACTTGCCTATACTTTTTGCTCAGAAGTAATATCCCACTAAGAAAGAGAATTTTTTTTTTAATGTTACAACTTCCAGAATATTCCAGCCAGTGTATGGCTACTGGCTATGTTAACTGGGGTATTTTTGGGAATTGTAGTACAAATCTCTCTCAATTTGTTTTCCTCTCTGGTCCCATTGTGGGCAAAGAGTTTATGCCTAGCTAAAACTGCTTAGGGGTTCAAGTCTGTCTTAATGAGAGACTGGGAATATGTGGTCCTCGATGTTGTGAAAATATTCTCACTTTACTAATAGCTGTGCTAACTAGGTTGAAGAAAAATTAGAGTAGAAACTTTCCTCAGCCCTAAATTACAGGAAATTATTGCTTGGAAAATACTTCTGTCCCTGAGGATAGTGACCTTAAGATAGTCATCCTTGAATGTTACAGTTTTTTAACACAAAACAAGCTGAACAAGAATTCATCATCTTTTGCTCTTCCGACTTGAAAATGGATAAATATGCTTTATTATATTACAGGTTGTTTACTGTCTCATCTCTGCAAAGACATCTGTCTAACTAACCAACTATTGTTTTGCTAAGCAACACTCTGTGTACTTTCTGCATTTCAGTCCTTCTGATTTATCTGTTTACAATACCTCCACTATACAACTATGTGTATACTTGTGCAAACTGAGAACAATGATCCGTGCAACTGATTAAGTTGATTGAGTCCACAAAAATGTAAAACATAAATTAATTTGTTCATCTGTATAGCACAATTTGGCTTCTTGTTCTTCCTTCTGTAGTGTAACTTTACTTAAATACTGACATCAGATTTGAGCTCTCAACTCTTCTGGTGATGGAAAACCCAGAGACAGAAAACACTGAAAGTGGTTTTAAACATTTTTAGCACTTTTTAATTATGGACATGTGGGAATAGCCTGAGGAAGAGGGAAAAAGAACACACCAATATGAAACACAAGGTTGTGGTAATAATGGCACTAGTTCTAACTTCTTCATGGTGACTGTATATAAATTTACAGTTTAATGGCCTGTTAGGCTGGACTGGTTTAAAATCACTATGTTCTGAACAAACAAAGGAAATAAACATTTTCTGGCAATTTCTCAGAGGTGGGACTCACCATCAGCAAAAACTGTAGCACACGATTGTTCTTTTCTGTGTTCTCTACACTCCCCTCTCCCCTAGTGTCATTCTAGAGCACTGTGGAGTTGCTAGCAGGAAAGCAACCCCCACAAATGGTGAGAAAGTTTGGAAATAATTATGCAAAAAAGCTCTTTATTTTTAGGAAAGTAAGGAAAAATGGAACTTCAGGACGTACTTCAGGAAAAAAAATCTTCTGAAAAACTGCAGCATTTTGCGCCTTCCCCAGACTTCCCAATATTACATTTTGAGGGGCCATGGTAGATACATTTTGTTTCTGTAATACGGCACCTTCCTTGTGGGTCCAGTAGCATGTAGGAGCAAGGAAAGTGTTATGTCCATCTCCAGGAAAAAGTTGAAGCTACTATGTTTGTGGAGTAATGCATCATCTTATTTCTCGTAAGTTTTATTTCCTCATGAAAGGGACTTCAGTTTTTCTACCTCATTTCCAGGGCCCTTTAGAATTTATTTCAGTTACAAGTTTTTGAGCTCACTGTAACCTTGGATGGTGCCTGACAGTGCTGGTCTCTCTCTTTTTGTATTTCACATTTCTTAAATACTGCAGGTTCTCTAGCTGGTCAATGATTCTGGATATGAAAATCTTTGCAGAATAAGTAACCGTATGGTATATTTTTCTGGGCTTTAACTCAAGGGTGAGAAGTTGGAGCGATGCACACATACATATACCTTTTATCCACCAAAGAAGTAAGGGAAGCTCAAGAATCCCGAAGCTTATCCAGACAAGTATAACTGAAAATACTGCTTCTTTGAAATTCCGTTTCAAGAATTTCTTTCAAAAGGATGGTCAAAGTTTCTCGTGGAAGAAATGTCTGGTACAGTACTACCAAAAATGATTGTAAACCAGTGGGGTGAGATGTAAAACAGAGGCTTAGAAATATACCAACCTTAGAACTGTCACATGAGCTCAAGATTATTCATATGAGATAAAATGCTACTGTCAGCCTAGTCTTCCTACAATCCAATGAAAATCTAATCTATTTCCTCTTCATCAGTGTTTTTTTTGCTATGGAGATGGTAGAAATCTGAGATAAACGGGCAAAGAAATCAGAATTTAATTCCCTCACCCCCATTCTTGGAGGCTGAAATCACTCATTAATTTTGCTTCAGAACTCTGGATATTTCAAGGTACGCAGCCATTCTACTTATAAACCAGCTATACTATATTGGTGCCATTAATAATTCTCTCTCTCATGGAAGAAAACCACAGCAACAGAATGTCTTGTCTTCCAAATAATAATAGAAAGTAGAGCTTAGAAGAAGAGAAAAATCAAGGGAACGGTGGAATTATCTACTGATTATCAGAACATTATAAAGTTGGGGAAATGGGCATATTGTCCAGCACTATTACACATACGTAAGTTAAAGGAAATGGGGAAGGGGACTATTCAAGACGCAAAACCAAGTTTCAGAGTTACATCTTATTTCTGTTATTTTCAATCAATTATCTTATCTTAAGCAAAGACATATTATTCTAATAAGAAAAAAGGGAGCATCCATTTGGATGGTAAAAATATTCAAGGTGAACATAAAAGGAGTGAAGTCTAAATAAATAATTTGTTCATCAAACACAGAGACACCATTTTAACAGGAAATAAAAGTGACTGAAAGCAGTTTCTTCAGCAGCACAACAGTACACAGTACAAAATGTACACCTTTTCAACATCAGAAAGTAAATAATCCTATGTCAATTACAAAATCAGCATAATCTTTGGTACCAAATGTAAGGGCACCTGCTTGTCAACAACATCATCCTTATTTGCCATAGAAATGAACAATCTATAAATAAACAGTAAGTGTAGGGCCAACTTACTTTTTTTTTGCTCTTGTTAAGGCTTGAACCTTTAGCTAAACTACAAGTTACAACAAATATGCTTGAGGGGTTTTTCCTCTCAATTTTTTCTTTTGAAGAGAATCAGGCACAGTTCCAGCACCTCTTCCTAATCTGGACCGGGCAACCACACACCCATCTGATGGAAGAATCTCTCTACTAGCTGCTCTAGAACAGGTGTGACTTACTGCAATAAACAGCACCTGTTCTAGAGCAGCTGGTAGATTGGGTAGGTTCAGGAGGAAATTAGAAAATGGCCAAACGTCAAATATGCTTGCAATCTGTACTTAGTTCCAACAGTTACACTTTCTTTCTTCACAAAAAAAGAGCCCAGTATTATGAAGACACTATTTAAAAAATAGCTATATGTTTAATGTGTTGCCTTGCTTGAACAGAAGCACCTAGAACAGTCTCCCTTGACCTTCAGGCGTCTCTGACTGGAATACTATCAGCCACAGATTCAGTGGGTGCAATTGGATGAGAATAAAAGTTGTAGTCCAATACAGTATATCTAGAAGGAAACAGGTGGGGAAAGATGGACATAAAGCAAATGGGAGACACTAAGCCCTGAGCTACAAGTTATACTGCTCAAACACAGCTTTTGTGAAGTTATGCTTGTCCCTCCCACCCCAGCCCTGCAACTCTGTAGGGGTAGAATGAATATTTTTACGCCACCTTTCCCACCACCGCATACTGCAGGCAGTGCTGGTACAGAGCCTCTCCAGCAAAACCTGGTGATCAGCTCTCTGTGTGTTACAGCAGCAGTAAGTCATTACATGGAGGCTGTTTCAGCTGTACCGCATACATATGTCAAGCATAAGCTGAACAATAAAACAGGACACAGATTTTTAAATGTACTGTATAGGGGATTTTCTTTAAAAGTAAATCCTTCTAAGACCACTTCTTGAAGATTAGTCAAAAGGTTCATATTGTTATCTTTTTGAAATCCCTTGGGGGTGTCAATACCCAAACACCATAGAAAATGAATGACGATTTTAAAAACGGGGAGCAGGGAAATAAAGAGAGAGAAGTATTATAATACAAAGTCAGTCATTCTCTTGATTGAAGACATTTTGCTTGATCTTTTTGTCACTTGCTACTTTGCCAATTCCACCATTTGGTTTTTTTTTTAAGGTTTATCATTTTGGCCGCCGTATGTTTGCATTTTGTTTATGCCTAGATCTCACCTTTTGGTATTTCTTTCTATGTCACCTGACAAGGTGGTGGCAGATGAATACTCAATAAACTGGTTCCTTAATAGGTGATGAATGCATCACTGGATCTTGTAAACACTACCGCTTTTATACATTCAAGCTTTGTTCTTAGTGAAAATGGCACTTGCTCGGACCATTGCACTCAAGATTTAGCACTTCAAAAGGTAAAATATTAGCTGGTTATGGAGTCCTTCTGATGCGCTTCCTTGTTCTCCAATGGCTTGTTACAGTGCACTGGGATTATATCCACTGCTTTGATCCCACAGATGCTCCTCCAAATCTGAATAACGAAGCCCATTTTCTTTCCTTTCCTTTTTGTACTTGACTTGTGCTTTATTGCTGTACACATTTCCCCGTGGTCAATTTAAGTGCGCCTCTGTTATGTAACACATTTAAAGTTTTAAACTCTAATGGCATCCTATGGGGACTGGCATTGGAAAAGTATCGATACTTTAGGTCATCGTAATAATGATACTTGACTGGTTTTCCATTCATATCCTTTGGGAAGGGCCAGAATCCATATAGGTGAATTTCATCGCAGAATCTCGTGGCAAGCGTGTACATGAGAAGTCCTGTGCTGGGTCGCTTGATGAAAACCTTGTTGGTCAGCCAGTAACTGCAAGAGTTAAAATAAAAAGGAAAATTAACAGACACACATTTGATTGTTAAGATGTTTTGTTTCAGCTCGAGAAGCAACACTCTTAAAGAATGCCTTACCTTCTTCTTTGTTTAAAAGTTCCTGATGCCATAAACTGGCTTTAAATACAAATTGTTGCATGCATCCTCTCTCAAAATACCCATAATTTATTAATAGTTACGTTTATAACCTGCCTGAATCTCCCTGGTTCCAATCTATCACTCTGAGCACTAGACCACATTCTTTCATGAAGCAAACAAAAGCTGGGACTTACATCAGGAAATGGTATAAAGGAAAAAGGATTCACCTCTCATCTCCCGTGCCAGCAGGATACTCCTGATTCATCCTCCCATCTCTGTGTTATCCACTCTCCTATGTGTTTGCTCCCATCAGAGATCCTTTATCTAGCCTGCCCAGTGGGACCCCACTCACAAGTATGATGATTGAGAGATTCAGTGCTCTGAACCACCCTTATGCCTACATAGATCCTAATCCAGGAAGGCTTAAATGTACCAAAACATATCTGTGAAAAATTTAGACTGTATCATACAGGACTGTTTGTTTCACTAATCCTAGATCACAGTCCTTTTCTGATGTTGAGTAGAATCTCCTGAATACTGTACAGCAATGCTGAAAATCTGCACTGCTGGGTTCAGCGTTGGATGCTATTGATCACATGTTGAGCAGGGGTTTTTTTTCTCCTTCAAAGCATTTATTGCTCGTGACTTGAACTTCTATAAAACAAAATGTTGAGGCAACACTGACCAACATGGGCGGGGGCATTAAAGAGAACACTTGCTAATTTTAGAATTATTTTCTCTTAATTCTAGGAAGAAGTAGCAGCAAATTCTCCAGGAGATAATTAAGGGCCACTTGTTCTAGCGCATGTTGAATAAACATAAAACAAATGCATTTTGCAAGCAGACACTATACTAGATACTTTCCTCACAGAACTTTAATTCCTTCATTTTCATTCAAACTTGTTGCTTTTCCATAAGCTTCAATCAGGAGCTCTCTTGTTATTATTGCTAGCTGAAGATAAAACAGATAAAGCGATGCATTCCACTCTTAACTGCGCCAAAACACTGGATGGTAATTATGTTAGTAATTATTCATCAGTTCCACTTATGGCAACTTAATGAAGGTGCAAAACCAGCATTAATTTATTAGGTGCTGTTGCATATATTTTAATGTACTTCTGGTGTGTGCTGAAACACTGTACTGTATGTATTTCAAGAAAAATTGAGTGCAGGGCCTGATAGTAATTATCTATCTGTGTTACATGGGTTAAAATAATTTTTGGCTGAAGTGGACGGAACAATGGTCCTTGTTCAAACAAGAATTATATGGCGCATGGGAGTCTCAAGCCACTATTACTTGCACACAAAGCTGAAAGTGTTATCTGACCCCAAGCGATAGCAGAAGATAATAGAAGCTCCTATTTATCACTAGGAAATAAAGAGGTCAGGCATGTGGGTATCAATCTGGATTTCAGGCTGTACCTCAAATTCCCAATTGGAAGTGGCTTTGGAAACAGTCACAATTACCCTGTAGAATCTGGACCTGTTGCGGAGATCTAGCTGTAGGATTTGCAGCAGGAAATGTCTCAGCTTGCCAGGGCTGAAGCTGAAGCAGAAAGCTGCTTTCGTGGCTCAAAAACTCTGGCACAGATTTCACAGGGAAAAGAAGAGGGAGGGCTACAATCTTATTTTGTATTGGAGCCAAACACAAAAGTGGAGTTTTGAAAAGTAACTGTCCGTGCTGGCTGAGGAATTAAGGGATTCTGAGCCGAAATCAAAGCAACTTTAAAACAGCAGGTGAAAATGGCTTTTCCTACACAAAGAAAATGTTGGAGTGGGGGAATATTATTGAGGTTCAGCCACTGTTCCTATCAGTGATCTTCTAAATTAACGCTAATCCTTACAGTGAGTGGATTTGCCAACCACACAGACTGGCTGTGGGTTAGCCAGCTTGATCGATGCCAGTGCCTAGAGCAGACCATGAGAATTGGATACTTCAGTTTTCTTTGCTTGGTGTCATACCTGGGATGAACATCAACAGGACTTTTACTGCCTTTTCTGTGTCTACTGCTCATTCCAATCTGCTATCCTGGTATATCTGCTCAGAGGCACATTTTGGTACCTAGCCGGGGAAGAAAAGCCAATCAACAGACCCTCCTAGTGAGTGCCCTTTGCCACCAAGGTGCCAAAAAAGAAATGTCAATGCCCATAAGAATATATAAAATATCTCCACCACCACCACTGCATAACTATTGTCAATCTCAACCATTCAAAGCAAGGGAAGGACGCTTCCAGATCAAAGACCAGGATTTCCACATATCCTCTTTTCTTTCATACATTTTAGAAACCAACATCTGTGAGTTGGAGAAAACTCCCTACTGCTGCTTATACATGGGAATTCACACTGCACACACACCATCACTAGGGAAAAGTTTCTGTTTTGGATAACAATCCCAACCGACATAGCCAGAGGTCAACCAAACTGGAGGTGGAGTTCTGCAGTGCTGAATTTCAAAAAGAGTAATTTTCAAAGCTCAGAAGGAATTGTTTAGGGGACTCTCAAGAGTCTCTTGTCCCTTGCAAATACCTGACCCCACTTTTTGCTGAGGGTGGCCATAAAATGCTTCTAAAGCCTACCTGGCCAGAAATAAATACATTCAATCCAAAGAACTGCAAATGGAAGAAAATTATCTACTAACATTATTCCACAAAAGAGGACGCACAGGAGCTTCTCTACGAGGTTTTACAATTGTTATTTTGGTTCTGCATGTACATAACTTTATGCACTTTATTGCATTTTAGGATTTCACTTCATATTTCTTGTACAATGCTCTAGATCAAATACTGTATACAAAAATAGTTTGCAAGCAGAAGTTGTATTCTGTATGTAATTGGACATACAGGGACCCAATCTTAGGTACCCATCACCATTATCTCATAATGTAGGGGACAGAGGAAGTATGGTTCTCTGGATATTGATAGGCTACAGTTCTCTCCATCTTGCACCATTTATAATTTTGGCAAAGAATGGCAATATCTGAATAGCCACAAGATGCCCAACCCATTGTAGCTTATAGTCAGGAGTGCAAACAGAATGGCTTGGACTGATATAGCAAAGATAGCATTCTGCAAATGACCAGCCGAACAAACTGAAAACAGAACAAAAGATTTATTCTGTCCCTTGCATGTACAGGACGATTCAACATGAACTGAAGTGAATCTCACCACCTAGCAATAATAACTGGTCCATGATATATGGGCAGACAGGCAGATACAAATATAAAAAGAAAGCTTAGAGGAAATGGCTACTCTACATATCCAAGTAGAGATGGGGGTATTCATATACAAATATCCCCACGCAGCTGGATTTAATGAGGGTTCGCCCCCGGGGCCAGACTGTCCACTCACATGTCCTGCGGCGGTGGCGGCCCCGCTCATCTTTCCAATTGCTCCCAGAGCGCTGCTCTCTTCGCGCTCGACTGGCCACTCCAGGCAGGGGGAGGGAGACGAGTCTCCACGCACAGCTGCCGAGTAGCCAGTCGAGTGGGAAGAGCTCTGGGCGTGATTGGAAGAATGAGCAGGGCCACCACTGAAGCAGGATGCATGAGTGGATGGTCCAGCCCTAGGGGGCACACCCTCATTAAGTCAAACTGTGAGGGAATATTTGTATATGAATACAAACATCCCCATTTCTAAAAGCCAGGCATCTTTACTGCAGTTGTGGCTGACTGTAAAAAACAGTGGATTTCAGATTCCTTATGTGCCCTGACTGGTTCATGCCACCCTTTCTTCACTTGACTGTGTACTTTCATACTCAACCATAGGAATAAATTTAGTTATTTGAGTTTTCTCTCAGAAAATGAAACAAACACATGAATGAAGCATTTCCCGTATTTTGACATACCTGTATGCCTACACATCAAAACCCTAAGTTTTGATCTTGTGACATGACAAAGAGACAAAAAAGTAATTCTTGGCTTCTGTATAAATAAAAAGGAGCCTAAACTGAATCTTAGTTTCTACAATTCAACAGCACATTTAAAATTCCAGACTAACATCCACAGCTTCCAAGCTTCTCAAAGTGAATCCAAGTGCATCCAAGTAACAAAATGACTCAAGGCATTTAACCTGCATTTTAGAACTGAAATCCTTTTACAGAGCCTGGATTTGTAATTAATCAGCCAACAGCACATCTCACGGCAGCAAATCCCTGGCTTCCAGTTTTTACTGAAAGCAATTTTAAAATTGACCCACATGTTTATGTGGCTTCTATAATTTATTCCTAGATTATACTACTGAACTGGTTAGTGACAGCACTGCTGTCATGCTAAGAGATCTGTCAAAGCTGATTACTGGAAAACTGCTTAACCAGAGAAGTAATTGTTTGGTTAATGGACTGTATGCGTTAGGTCTATTGTACAAATGAGCAAATTCAGGTAATTCTTGATCACCATGAAATCCTTTGGCCAGGGTAGAGTTTGTTGAAGTACAGTATACAGATTCTACCGAGGGAATTCTTCTTCCTCACAACAGCCCAAACCAATAACATCGCCCCACGGGAATTAAGGTCTTTGGGCCTTGACGAACATACATTTTAATAATCACAGAACAGTAAACTATTATTCGATAATGTTTCTTAGCTAAAAACTCACTTTGCATGTGACCAGCAGTAATGTTCATACACTACAAGTGCTAAATCAGGAGCTACGCACACAGAAGGAAGCATTCAACATGCAAGTCTGTAGGCTGAAGCAAAATTAGGATTACTAGATTTCTGTTTTAAAAGATCCATGTGTCAATGTAAGAAGTCCTCCTTCTGAATCAGAACTACGCTTTAGGACAGAAAGGAGTAGATACACACACACACACAAATCCTGAACACTTCTAAATGATTCCCTTTCTTCTGACTAGTAAGCACACATGTTGTCTATTTCATAATGGAACCGTAGATTTAAATAA